TGCTTTTTGCAGTGTATCCCTACCCTATTATTGATGACACGATCCTTCACGCTGCCTCAACAAACACCTCCTAAGCTAGTCCCCATCACATTGTATCCATCAGTGTAATTAAACTTTACTCTCCAAATTAGAGTTACCTCCTCATTGTTCCAGGGAATAGTTACAGCCCTCAAGATGCAAAATTCCTCTACAGGATAAGGACGTCTACCCAGATCCTGCCAAGAAAAGTACCTTGGATTGTTATCAATGTGTTCAAATCTATGGACAAGAGGAGGGACACTGTTGTGGGAATCTTAGCTTAGGAGACAGACATTTTGTATATCTTTAGTAGGGTAGAGACTTTTCTTAAGTTTCCAGGAACTTATGTTATCACCATTTTCGTAAATACACTCCTGCATTCCCCCGTGGAATGCACTTCTCCTTCTTGGGAGGATTTTAGGAGTATGTATCTGTTATATATCCAGTGTTTGTTATGTATCTAATCAATCACACAAGGTATCATGCTTGTATAATCTTATACTTTTCTGTACCATGTTTTACTGCACATATCTGTTTTACAACCCCACCTTGATTTTCAATAAAAACTCAATCTGCCGTTGAAACCAGAATGACTCTATGCACGTATGCTGGTCTCCTTTATGTATGATTTGGGTTCTGTTATATCATCTTCCAGAAACACATTTAGCTTCTACGTTCTTTTATGGGCTAACAACACACAGCATTTTTGTGGGTGAAGTGGTGTCAGCCCCACCAATGTTCTTTAGTAAACCATTGAAACCCGCCCCCATTCTATCCTATTTTGTATACCATAACGACTAAAAAGACAAAATTATTCCATAATCCACAATAACAACTAGAAGAATGAGATAATACAGAAAGTGTGCACAAGACACAGGGCAGCTCTGAATTTTGAATCATTGGGTATTTCTTTTCACTTATCAAGCTGATACACCAAAACACTTTAAGGCTCTGGTCACACTGCTGCGACCCCTAAGTCATGAGACTCCTAGTGCGACTTTGCATTGCACCTTGATGCAACTTCAATGCGACTTGCATGTGACTTTGATGTTTTGCGACTTTGGCTTCGGCAAATCATAACAATACTGAGCGTGACACATATTATTGAACATGCAAAACCCTCTGAAGTTGCAGCCATAGTCACAAAGATAAGATAAAGAGATGAGCTCCTTGTGACTTTTGTGATTTTGACATCGCAGTCTTTGGCACAAGGAAGATGCAGAAAAGTAGTGCAGGAACTATTTTTTTGTTGCTGTGACTTGTGCCTCAGCAATTAAGAGGGTATCCATTGAAACTAATGTGTATTGACTTGTCATCCCACTTTTGTGTCGCACCTTGCAGCAAGTCACAGGAGAAGTCACAACAGTTTGAACCAAGGCATAATAGTATGCTTAGTGGGTCAAAAGATAGCAAATAAAAGCAATACAATGGAGCATTTTCATGCAAAATAACACAAGGTGTACCCATGATACTGGGTCTGGCACATTGTGCTGGCTGGAAGCTGAAAGGAGCGGGAAATTTGAGTGGAGAGTGAAAAAGTTTTGCTTTTGACTGTTGGTGCTTGTAGTTTTTATTTTTTTTTTTTCTTTGGAGTCTTGCTAGCAGCTTTTACTTTTTTAAATCACTTTTTCTGTCATCTTTAAATAGCATTTTTTTTCTTTCCTTTTTTTCCTTCAGTCTGTTGATGATTAAGGGGAGTAGTTAATTGGTCACAGGTGCTCCAGGTACTATATAACTTTCTGTAGAGCTCACTCTGAGCTTGCCTATATTTTGCTTGCTGGACCTTTGATGAAGTTGACATTTGATTAAGTGGAATAAAAAAACCGAAGTTGAAAAAAGGAGATTATAAAAGGAGTCTACTAACCTGTAAGTGACAACTGATATTTCCTATTAGTAATATTAATATTGTAGCTGGGATAATGAGTGCTAGCAGGGTTGAAAGTTTTGTGCAGTGCACAGTGTGCTGCATGTATGGAACAATGGAGCAAAAGCTCCAGGATGGATACCGCTACGACAGATGTGAGCAGGTTGCCCTTCTGGAAGTTCGTGTTAGAGATCTGGAGGAGTAAGTTGCAACACTGGGCAGAGATACAACCTTGAAAGGGGTCTTCTGCTCTCTGAGCAGGTACTTAATGAGATTGATGTGGAGGGTGGAGGGGCTAGTCAGGATTATCAGGTAGGAGATGGGTTACTGTAACGAGAGGGAGTGATAGGGGTTCACAGAAAAGGAAGGTCAGCCCTGGGTTTGAGCACCCAAATAGATTTTCCAAGTTGGGTGAAGATGTGGGGGTGCGGCTCAGGGGTGGCAGCCTTGGATGTCAATGCTATCCCTCACAGCCAGGAGGGCAGACCATCTAGGAGGAGTGGTAAGGGTAGTGCAGGAAGGCCTAGACAGTTGGTAGTAATAGGGGATTCTATAATCAGAAGGACTGAATAGAATAATTTTTTGCCAGGATCACCTCAACTGAATGGTTTGCTGTCTCCCTGGTAACAGGTTTCGGCATGTGGTGGACTGGGTTGATAAATTACTGGGAGGGGCTGGGCATGACCCAGCTGTCTTGGTCCATGTTGGAACCAATGACAAAATACATGGAAGGTGGAGGCTCCTTAAGAATCAAGTTAAAGAACTAGGCTGCAAGTTGAAGGGAAGGACCTCCAAGGTGATATTCTCTGAAAAACTACCTGTGCCATGCACAACTCAGGAAAGCCAGGGGGAAATTAGAGGACTGAATTCATGGATGGTGTAAGAGGAAAGGATTTGGGTTCCTAGAGCACTGGGCTGACTTTTCACTGGGTGCAACCTATATACTAGAGATGATTTGCACCTAAATGGAAGGGGGTCTGCTGTGTTGGGGGAGAGGTTCATGGGATGGCTAGGGGAGTATTTAAACTAAGATCGAGAGGGGATGGAAAAATAGATTATAATGGGGCAGACAGATCAGACAGGGCTCAGTTCTTATTGTTGTGTGGAATGGGGAAAGATGGGGGGAGGGCTATGGTAGGTGATAAGAAGTTTCCAACACAGCCACTGGAATTAGCACCATTTGTAAGAAAATAAAAAATATGCAAAATATGTGTGCACAAGGTGTCAATGAATTAAAGTGTTTGTTCACCAATGCCAGAGGTCTGCCAAGCAAAATTTGGAAGCTATGGTGCATAAAGAGAATTATGATTTAATTGGTATTGCTGAAGCTTGGCTTCATTCTTCACATGACTGGGCCATTAATATTCCTGGCTATGTTCTCTTTTGGAAAGACAGGGTAAAAAATGAAAGATGGTGGTGTCTGTTTCTATGTGAGAAGTGATCTCAGAGTGAGTGTGAAAGAGGACCTAGTTGATGGAGAGTGTGATGAGGCGGAAGTATTATGGGTGGAACTGCACATGGGGGTGCGTACTACATGGGTAAACATTGGAGTTTGTTATAGGCAACTCAGTGTTAATAAGGAGGTGGAGACTCAGCTCCTTGCACAGTTTGAAAGGGCTGCAAGGGTTGGGACAGTGATAATAATGGGGGATTATCCTATAGGGGCTAAACCTACTACAGAACACTTTTATGGTACAGTTTATAGAGGCCCCAACTAGGAATGATACTCTGCTGAACCTGGTAATTCCAAACCATACAGAGCTTATTACGCATGTCCATATAAAAGAACATATGGGTAGCAGTGACCATAACCTGATTTAATTTAGATAGATAGGGTGGAGTATATATATAGAATGGAAGAATTGTATCATATAGATGATGGAAACATTTAAGAAGATCTGGGAGGCATGGTACAATTTAAAAAAATCAAAAAGATTTCTAGAAGCAGTGGGAGGATAAGGGAAAAAAGAAAATAAACCAGAACCTGGAAAAGAAAGGAAAGAGAGTAAAAGAAAAGAAGGCGAAACAGTGACATAGATCAACAAATGAACAAGAAGTGAATGGAAGGAATAAGAGGACAGAGGGTAGGGGGGTGGGAGGGTAAATAATGGGATGAGGATTGTAATTAAATATGGATTTTTATATTGTATGCTGTTGATTTAAATTGGATTTGTATAAAAAAGAAAAAAAAAATACAATAAAAAAAAATAACATGATTTCATTTATTGTTAGCTGTAAACAATAAGCACATACTTGTGCTTAAAATTCAGCTTTAGGATTCTACAGTTAATCTTAAAAAAGTGGAAACGATCATATTCATTAACATATATCAGGAACAAAAGTTCTGCACTATTCAGATTTATCCTATAAACTCTGGGTATAGAAAAAATAACATGAATACATAGTGTGTGTGTGTGTGTATAGTGACATGGGATGTTTAGCTCTCGTGGTAGATGCGCTATTTTAGTGAGTCCACAACAGACAAACTATTTTTTAGGGCTTGGTAACTCAATTTTATTTGGAAAGGAAGCAAAAGTTCACAAGTGAATGATTTCCCACGCAGAGGATCTTCTCCAACTTCAACAAAAATCCATGCACTGGAAAATGTCGAGCCACCTGGCTAATAAGCTCGCTCAGCTTCAATTGCAGTACCTCTCCTGGATATTTGGCTCTCTAGATTTAATACACAGCACCCTGCTGTAAGGTCCTCCTCTGAATTATGGATAGGGGATCTCCTGACACCCTGATAGGAGCCGACTTGACTCCTAGAACTGATACCTTTGTTGACTTCTGGCTGAGTCCTCTGACACCTCGACCAGACATTCTGTCCCCCACTGGGAACCCTAAGCTATTCTCAGACCTCAGTATATAAGGACACCTAACACCTGTGTACTCCAGATTGCAGATGTCTAGCAAAATCCAGACACAGGATTGAAACATTAGTCCGGAACATTGCATTCCTCCTAATGCGAATCTTGTGGCACATTTTCCAATCTTTTCACAGTGACAGTCTTGTCCCGGCCACATAATGAATACAGTATTGGGACACCCCTTCAAATCATTGGATTCAGGTGTTACAATCAGCTCCATGACCACAGGTGTATAATAGCACCTAGGCATGCAGACTGCTTCTACAAGCACTTGTGAAAGAATGGGTCGCTCTCAGGAGCTCTGTAAATTCAAGCGTGGTACCGTAATAGGTTGCCACCTGTGCAATAAGTCCATCTGTGAAATTTTCTTGCTACTAAATATTCCACAGTAAACTGTTAGTGGTATTATAACAAAGTGGAAGCAACTGGGAACAGCAACTCACCCACATAGTGGTAGGTGACGTAAATTGACAGAGCAGGGTCAGCACACGCTGAAGCGCACAGAGGTCACCAACTGTCTGCAGAGTCAATAGCTAAAGACCTCCAAACTTTGTCGCCTTCAGATTAGCACAACAGTGCATAGAGAGTTTAATGGAATGGGTTTCCATGGCCAAGCAGCTGCATCCAAGCCATACATCACCAAGCACTGCAGTGGTGTAAAATACACCGCCACTGGACACTAGAGCAGTGAAGACATGTTCTTTCGAGTGATGAATAACACTTCTCTGTCTGGCAATCTGATGGACATGTCTGGGTTTGGCAGTTGCCAGGAAAATGGTACTCAATAACTGGCTGCAACGCTGTACATCATGAAAGAGGTTTATACTGCAAAAGATTATTAAATAAATGAGCAGCCTGCTCCATAAATAGATTTTTAAAAATAATTATCATATACAGGATTTATATAGCACACACAGTTTGCGCAGCACTGTACAATATAAAGGGAGGCAATACAGCAACTATACAATTCAATACAAGAGGGTTAGAAGGGCTCTGCTCTTGGGAGCTCACAATCTAATAGGAAGGGGTTGGTGGAACAAAAGGTAATAACTGTGAGAGATGAACTGATGGTATAGATAGAAGATTCGGTTATTAGCTGAAGGCAGGATAGGTTTCCTTGAAGAGATGAGTTTTAGGGATCGCCTAAAAGTGGACTGAGTAGAAGATAGCCAGAGGATGGGAGAGGCTCTGGAGAAGTCCTGGAGATAAGCATGGGAGGAGGAGAAAAGTGAGCTAGAGAGCAGGAGGTCTTGGCAAGAGGATGGTTTGGGTGATATTTGGAGGATTGGCGATGTAGCTTGGGGAAGAGTTGTAAATGAATTTGTATGTTATTGGTAATATTTTGAATTTTATTTGTTGGGCAATACAAAGCCAGTAGAGGAATTGGCAGATAGAAGTGGAGGACACTGAAGGGCTGGTAAGGTGGATAAGTCTGGCTGTAGCATTGCTAATAGACTGAAGAGGGAGACCAATGAGGAAGGAGTTAAAATAATTAAGGCAAGAGATAACATGTGAATGAATAAGTTGCTTAGTGGTTTCAAAGGTCTAAGGAAAAGTACAGCCAAAGCTCTTTTGGCTGTACTTCTCCTGTGGATCACAGAAGTGCAGTTTGTTCTGCACTCCTGTGACCCATTTTCAGCTGACAGTGGGCTAAAGCCCGCTGTTGGCTGATGTCACTCAGCCAGTCCAGGCTGGGTAAAGATCCAGACTTTAAAGTCGGCATGCACCCCAGAGTCTGGAGCTGCACCTGGCACAACCTCTCAGTGAGCCACTGAGAGCCTGAGCCAGCTGCTCCCTCCCCCTCCACAACCCAGCACTCCAGTGGTGACTGATAGTCACCACTCTCTGATGAAAGTGGCTGTGAGAACCAAGTGATCAGTGGTCAGCGATCAGCAATCACTTAGAGCCAGCAGGGGACAGATGCAGCATTGGACCGATGCTGCATCCACCTAGGTAAGTATGATTTGCCAAAAAAACCCAAAGCCATACTATTTTAAAAAGGGGCATATTTTGGAGATGTTATGGCGATGAAGTCTACAAGGTTTGGCCATTGTTGGGAGTTGTCCCTGAAAGGTTTTAGCAGTTACTAAATTGTTAGTGAGTTTTAGTAGGGCAGTTTCAGTGGAGTGTAGTTATTATTAATATTATTATTATACAGGATTTATATAGTGCCAACAGTTTGCTCAGTGCTTTACAATATGAAGGGAGACAATACAGCAGTGGTACAGTACATTCCAAGTGGGTTAAGAGGGCCCTGCTCCTTGGAGCTTGCAATCTAAGAGGGAGGGGCTGGTGGTACAAAAGGTAATAACTGAGGGATGAACTGATAGAAGGAATAGAAGATCCTGTTATTAGCTGAAGGTGGGATAGCCTTCCTTGAGATAGGTTTTCAGAGATCGCCTAAAAGTGGGCAGAGTAGGCGATGGTCAGATAGATTGGGGTAGAGCGTTCCAGAGGATGGCGGAGGCTCTAGAGAAGTCCTGGAGATGAGCGTGGAAGGGGTTGACAAGGAAGATAGAGAGCAGAAGGTTGCGCGAGGAGCGGAGAGGACAGTTTGGGTGATATTTGGAGACAAGATTGGTGATGTAATTTGGGGCAGAGTTACAAATGGCTTTATATGTTATTCTTAATGTTTTGAATTTTTATTCATTGGGCAATGGGAAGCCAGTGGAGGGATTGGCTGAGAGGAAAGGCAGATATGGAACAGTTAGTAAGGTTGATGTGTCTGGCAGCATTCATAATAGACTGAAGAGGGGATAGCCTGAGATTAGGTTGGCCAATGAGGAGGGAGTTACAATAGTCAAGGCGAGAGATAACAAGGGAGTGAATAAGTTTCTTAGTGGTTTCAGAGGTTAAGAATGGGCGTATGTTGCAGAGGTGAAGTCTAAAAGATTTTGGACAGTGATTGGATTTGGGGCTGAAAGGACAGATGGGAGTCTAGGATTACACCTAGTACCCTGTCATGAGGGGAGGGACTGATTGGTTGTATTATTGATCTTGATGGAGAAGTCAGGGGAGAGTGCACGGGTGGGAGGGAATAGTATGAGCTCCATTTTGGAAAGATTTTGTTTGAGGAAGTGGAGTGACATCCATGCTGATATGTCACTTAGTAGGTTAGTAATGCAAGAGGAGATTGAAGGGGTGAGGTGAGAAGTAGAAAGATAGATTTGTGTGTCATCAGCATAGAGATGGTAGTTAAAGCCATGGCGGTTTATCAAGTGACCAAGGGAGTAGGTGTAGATGGAGAAGAGAGAGGGTCCAAGGACAGAACCTCGAGGGATCCCTACAAAAAGAGGAAGGGTAGAGGAGGAGATAGTTATAGGTAACACTGAAGGAACGCTGCGATTGGTAGGAGGAGAACCAGGAGAGAGCAGAGTCTTGGAATCCAAAAGAGTGGAGTTTTATGAGGAGGAGGGGATGGTCAACAGTATCAAAAGAGAGAGAGGTCAAGTAGTGAGAGTGTGGAGTATTAGTTTTAGCACTTAGTGAGTTTTAGTATGGCAGTTTCAGTGGAGTGAGCAAAAGCCAGACTATAAGGGATCAAGAAGGTGGTTGTCAGTGAGGTAGGAGCTCAAGCGATTGTAGACTAAGAATTCTAAGAGTTTAGAGGTAAACAGGAGCAGGGAGATGGGTCTTAAATTGTTCAGGTTGGAGGGGTCCAGCGAGGGCTTTTTAAGTATGGGAGTGATCTGTGCATGCTTTAGAGGGGTGGGGAAAGCAGCATTGGAGAGGGAGAGATTGAAGATGTGAGTGAGGGAGCATAGGAGAGAAGAAGAGGGCGACCGTAGTAGTTGAGAGGGGACAGGATCCAGGGGGCAGGTGGTGAGGCGGGCTTCTGAGAGAACTTTAGTGACCTCTTTGGTAGTAGCAAGGTCAAAAGAGGAAAGTATTGAGGATGGTTTTGTGAAGGGTATGTTAAGTAGGATAGATAGCTGTGCAGTAGAGATGCCCCCATGCATTGCATCAATCTTGTTTTTGAAGTGACTTGCAATATTGTGAGCAGTGAGCGAGTTGCTGGGTGGAGGTGATGGAGGAGAAAGTTAAATGTAGAGAAGAGTCAACGAGGACTGGATGACAGATTATTAATGAGGGTGACAAAGTAGGCTTGTCTGGCAGCTTGGAGGGAATTTTATTTTAAGAAGGTAGATTTATAAAGAGTTAATGCCTGCTGGGATTTGGTTTGATGCCACAAGTCAGTCATCAAGAAAGCACGTAACCGGTCCAGGACACTGATAGTTCACTGCAATCCTTAGAGAAATGGAAGAAAGCAGATGAATACAGTGAGCCTCGAAAGAAGAGAAGAATAGAGAGGGTGGGGTGGGAAGGACTTGAAAGGTGCTCAGTGGGGATAGAAGCAAACCAACTTCACCTCCTTTCTGGGTGGGTGAGTCCAGTGGAGGCCTCAATGGGAGAAGGCCATGGCAGAGGCAGAGTCTGATGCTTGAAGCCAGGTTTCTGTAATTGCAAGTAGGTTAAGGGAGTGGGAGACAAAAAGGTCATGGACATAGGTGAGCTTGTTAAAGGCAGTGGACATTCCAGAGGGCACATGAGAAGGGGAGGGGTGGTTTTTGGGAGAAGGGGGATTGAGATTAAACTGAGTGCATTGCGGCTATTTGTTTTAGCTGGATATTATTTAATATAATATCCTATACAGTGTATAAGGCCAATTAAGTGATATCATTATACAATAATGATGCATTACCACCTGTGAATACCATTTATGAGAAAATTCTACTGTATTGAAATATTTTCATTGAAAGAGCACTACATAATTTAAAGGAAACAATATTGTAAAAATGTCCACCTAAACTCTATCATGGTAAATAATTGGAACAGAGTAACATTGAAGTGGTACTAAAGCCAAAAGGTTTTTTACCTTAGAGAAGAGGAACACAAGGGGGTGCCACTTGTGTTCCTCTGCTTTTTACAGGGATATATTACAGTCCCTTGGTGTAGCTGCCTACTGTGTGTATTTTACCGATTATTGACTTCCAAAATTATATGGACTTATAATTGTTTGCTCCACTGCTAGTTTTAATTCATTTTCTGTATTGTTTTTGCACTTGAGGTTTACACCATATCATTTGTATATACTTTTTTTTACCTTTCATTATCTGTATTAAGGTAAAAAAAAACCTTTTACTAATTGTTCCCCACCCATCTCCCTAAATATTGTATTAATCCAGCGCTGTGCTCATCTGTAGCAACACTGGTTCTCTCTCTCCCCCCTCTTACAGGCTCAGAGACAGAAGGGAGAGACATTAGCTCCTGCTGCTATCAATCAAATGCTAAGAGGAGGAAGCAGGGGTGGGGCTCAGCCAACTTGTGTGTCTCTATAGATACACACAGCCTGGCTTGGGAGCAAGCCTGCTGGTGTATCACCATAGGAAGCAGCGTCCCTTGCCTGATTTATGTCCAGTATAGTTCTTTACTGTCCCTAACAGTATCAGCTCTCTCTTTCACTGTGCTAACAATACATTGCGGTGAGGATTCAACATCTACTAGTATACAGAGCAAGACTCCAGTAACATGGCGGTTTGGTTGACTGGGCGTAGGACTACGTCACGATGATGAAACGCATTCGGCGGAGCTAATTGTGTCACTTCCGGTTTGC